GAACATCTCCGTTAATCCAGGGTTTTTGATTTGGGAAGGATTTAACTGTTCTGGATGGGACGACATCTTCCACGCATTTCCTGATAAATCCTGATGTTGTGTATGAGATCATATTCTGGTTGGATGTGTAACTGTGTTTCTCTCTATGTTCTATCACATGACGGCTCCAGTCAAATGGAGGTGAGGTCCTACTTCTGGAAAGGCAGAGCAGCTCAATAAGTGACAACATTTGGGTCAGAGAGATAATCTGCTGGACTCTGAGGTGGCAGCACTTTGCTTCCTGTGTCGTGATGTTGTTAGCAGAAGCCAGCTGAAAGGGGTCAGTGCTGCATGTTCTATAGTGTTAGATATGTTCATATTCACTGATTGACTTTCGAAAGATTCTCTCCATACCCCCGTGCAGATCGCTAATATCAAGGTAGGTAACATGCAATAACTATTACATTTAAAATTAAGACTTTTGTAAGATAATAAAACCCGTATTGTGCTGCCAACGACGTCATAAGGAGGAAAAAAAACAGCCATCCAAACAATTCTGTCCCTCTGTGGAGGGACACATTGCTGAGCTCGTGGATAAGATCATGAATAAAGGAGACTGGACAACTGGCCAGAAGAGCATCATTGATACCCTCTATAGGATGGGTAAGCCACAGAAATTCATAGCTAAAGAGGCTGGCTGTTCAGAGCGCTGTGTGCAAGTATATCAATGGAAAGTCTAGTGGAACGACAAAATGTGGCAAGAGAAGATGCAGCAGTAGAAGAGATAAGCGTGGCCTTCAGCGGATTATCAGAAGATTCAAGAATCTGGCAGATCCAGAAAGAGTGGACCAGAATGTTTTAGGGGACTTCATGATTCTTTCTGCTGAGGATCTGAATGGATATGCAGATTTTATCTTCCAGCAGGACCTGGCCCCTGCCCATACCACCAGAAGCACCAAAACCTGGTTTGATTGCCATGCCATCAGTGCTTGACTGGCCAGCCAACTTGCCAGAGCTAAACCCCATTGAGAATCTATGGGGTATTATCAAGACGAAAACAAAAAACAAAACAAAACAAAAAAAAACCCAAAGAAGAGCTGACAGCAAGCATCAAGGAAATATGGGCTTCTATAACTCCCAAGCAATGCCACAAGCTCCTTGCCTCAATGCCACGCTGCATCGAGGCAAAGGGATTCCCAACAAAGTATTGACATATCGTGCCACATTTTGATTGATTTGATGTGATTTTTTTTCCCCTGTAAAAACTGAGAAGTAAATGGTGATTTCTTCACTGCATTCTAATGTATCGGGTTCCTGTTTTTGTGGGTTTTGTGAGCTAAAGACTTGTCCTTATATTGGCATTCGAGTAACATTCTGCTGTGAAGTGGTTGATAGATTTATAGTGTAGCTGCAGAGCCTCTGTGAACTAAAACCATCTTTGCTGTTAATTCCAGACAGCGCTGGATGTGTTTGCTCAGATGGAAAAGAAAGATTTAATATCAGACACAAATGTCAGTGTGTTGCATGAAATACTCCAAGAGTTTGATCAAGAGCTGGCAACCATTGTAGAGAACTACATTCAAGGTAAGGGAGACATTTTTCACTTTACCACACAAAAACATTTAGATGTAAACAGTGTGTTTCTGTGAACATCATCAAATGATTGTACTCGTTACAGGAGTCCCCCAGCAGCAGCAGATGTTACCTCCTCATGTCAGTATTGACAACTGTATCGGTCTGTGTGTGCTTTGTTAATTCTGTGTGTCATTTTGCTGATCACTGTGATGTTTACTCCCACAGTAGGCATGATTTGCATGGTATGTAGGGGCCACTGCTAAGAAAAGGAAGGCTGCACAGAGACCCTGTTCCTGTACTCACCATTAAAACTTTTACTGGGAAAAAGCGCAGTTTGGGGATCAAAGCTCCTGATCAACACAGAGGCAGAA